CTGGCGGAGCCACTCTGGGTTGCTTCGGTTTTAGTGTTCCCTCTGCACCAATTCGCAAGCTGTCTCTCGTGTGCTTCACCTCTGGCCTGCTCTTGCGCCGTTTGAGCTGTCCTGGTTCTTAGATTGGGTGCTCTCTTCTCTTCTCATTTTGTTGTGGCCCCTTCGGTTCTGGGTTGATTTCCGTGACTTTTCTTGTTGGCGTTGGCCTCTGGGGATCAGGTCGGGGTGCTTCATGCTCTCCTCCAGTGTCAGGGTTTCGACTCTTTTGGTCCTCGTGATAGGTTTGTTTGCTTGCAGCCATCTCTTTTTCTGGCGATAACTGACATGGCTGCTTTCCGGAAGGGTCCTTGGGTTGTTGATGCTTGGTTGGTCTGGCCAGGGGTGCATCTCGTATTGTGTTCGGTTGCGGGGATTCACCGTTCTTTCTCTGTCACGGCTGCCGTGACCTTCGTCACGCTTTGGGTTGTTCTGGTTTCCCTTCTTCCCTGTTCCAGGGTGCAGTTCTCTCGGGTCGTCAGCAGGGTGGTTCGGTCCAGCCAGCCTGCTGTCTATCCCTGTGCCCACGTTGTTCGTATGTTGGCTATGCGTTCCTTCGTTGATGTTACTGGGCCTTGTTGGGCCTGTGTGGCCTTGGGTTGGTAGTTGCAGTCTTTTGTCTCTGCTTCTCGTTGGGGTGTGAGCGACTTCCGCCTCCTGGGTTAGGTCTCTCTTGTTTTCCTCTCTGGGTAGATAGCTCTGGGGAGCCAATGGGGCTCTCCTCAGAAAACCAGCACTTAATGTAATAAAACACCATTTTCTGGGCGAGTCCCAGAGGCTCCCTGGCAAAGGGTCGGCAGTTTTTCGCATGTTTTTGATATCCAGCCTCAGAATTGGGGTGTGGATGGCCAGTGCAGATGTCTGGGGTTCCCCCTTCCCCCGCCCTGGGATGGGGAAGCTGCACAGACTGCGGCGCGGTGATGTGAGACGTCATACTCGTTTGCTTATTTCTGTTTGGGGAGTTCTATCCACTTGTTCAGGTTTTTGTAGCAATTTTCACCAGAATCGGAGTTTGTTTTGGGAAGCTTACCTTTCTGGGTGCCAAACACGGTTAATGACAGACATAGAATGCTTCCAACCACACGGGGGTTTCTATAGGCCATTGCTCCTCGTGCCTCTGTGAGGGGGCCAGGTTCTGGTTCGTGGTCCCCAGTAGGCCCACAGAACTCCATACACATGACTGATGCCAAAGTCTGACATTAGCATATCAGCCTGGATAGCTCCGGGGAGCCTCCGGGACTCGCCCAGAAAATGGTGCTTCATTACATTCAATGCTGGGCGAGAAACAATGGGCAGAGTTTCTTTCACCCTATGCCCCTGTTACCTAGCAGTAAAATAGGTACCTGGGTGTTAGTCAGCTGTCACGGGCTGCTTCCTGGGGGTGGAGGCCTGGTCGAGGACCTGGCCAAGGGGACATTAAAAGCCCCAAAATCATCTCAAGATAACCTTAAGATGCTGGTTTTTTGTCCGTTGCTGGTTTGCAGAGTCTATGGTGGTGCATTTTCTGCAGGCGGCTTCGTCTAATTGCCGGTCTATGTCAGACTTGTTGGTTCTCCAGGGGGCCTTGGTGGTCCTGCCCGGAAGGGTCGTGCCAAGGCTCGAGGTTCCTTCGGTCATCATAGGCCATTGGTGCCAGATTCAGGACTGGCCCCTCCTGTAGAGCATCTGGACATCTGGTCAGCGAAGGGCATGCTCTGAGTGTCGGTTAGGATCTCGTAAGGGTAGTCGGCCCTTTCGCGGTTTGCCCTGTAGATGGGGCAATGGGGGAGAGGGTCATGCTGTTTGCTCTCGCCTGGTCCCACGATTCATGGGCACTTTGGGTTGTTTACTCCGGCCTGCGGTCGCATTGGGTTGGCACCCAATTGGCACCTCCTCCATCAGTGGGTTTTTGGCTGGTGGGACAAGGCTCTTTTTCCTGCGCTCTGTCAGGTCATTCTGGAGTGGGTACGCTTGGGCGTGGACAAAAAGACCCTCAGGTGGGTTTCCCCACCTGTTTCCAGTTCCAAAACGGGACTGTGCAGACCTGAGGTTCATTCTGGACTTGTACCATCTGAATCTCTGGGTCTTTTGCCCCTCCTTTCGAATGACTACTCTGTCCCAAGTCCGGCTGCTTTTGGAGTCAAGCACTTGGTTGGTGTCCCTGGACCTCCGGGACGTGTATTGCATGTCCCAATTCATCTGAAAATTAGGGACTGGCTTGGTTTTGTCGTGGGGCAGTGAGCTTGCCGCTTTCGTTGCTTTCCATTCTGCCTGAATCTGGCATCTCGCATTCTCACACACCTTACTCGGGTTGTGGTGACCCGTTTGTGTCTGTTAGGGGTTCGAGTTCTGGCTTACCTCAACAACTGGCTGGTCTGGGCTTCCAGCCAGTCCACGTTTCTGCTCACCAGGGATTTAGTTCTTTCCCAGCTCGCCAGGTTCGGTTCTTCGTGAACTGAGGGAGTTCCACTTGGTTCCCTCTCAGGTTTGGACTTGGCTGGGTCTTGTGTGGGACACTCAGGCTACTGCCTTGTGTCTCCCTCCAGCGGCGTTGCTGCGGCTGTGGTCCTGCCTTCGGCTGTTTTTGGAGGGCTCCCCGGGTCACTTGTTGGTTATTTGAGCAGCTGTGTGGGCATCTGAACTGCGCCGTGCTGGTCTACCTGTCGGGTCGGATCTGGCTTAGGTGGCTGTTCTTGGTCCTTCAGGGACGTCCCTTCCGCTGCTCCTGTAGGTTGGCTATTCGAACCCAGACTAGTCTGGGTTCAGACTCTGGGGACTTTGCGTCGCCGGCTTCCTCTTCAGATCGTTCAGGGTTCAATGCCGTGGCACCTACCCAAGCCCTGATTTAATGTGTTTACAGAAACGTCGTCTCTAGGCTGGGGTTTTTTGTCCAGTGCTCACCAGTCCAGCCAGGGGCAGTGGGGTCCGTCTTTCCGTTGGACTCACAGCACAGTGTGGGAGTTCGCACCAGTGTGGTATTCGCTTTGGAGGGTTTGGGTCACTTGCGGATTAACGATTCGGCTGCATTTGGACTACTCCCTGGTGGTTCAATGCCTGAACTGAGGGGGGTTCGATGTGGTCCTTGGCTCTTTGAAGCTGGTTGCTTCTGGTGACTCGTCTGCTGAGTTCTCAGGGTTTGGCTCTTCTGGTGGCTCACGTTCAGGGAGTGTCCAACGTTCTGGTGGACGGCCTGTCCCGGTTCATTGCCCTTTTCACGGAATGGACGGTCAGCGCCGACTTGTTCTCTTGGCTCTACCAGATGTCTGGGTGCCTGGAGGTAAACCTCTTTGCATCGGTGTGGTTGAGGTGTCTCCTGGTATATGTGGCGCCTTCCCCGACAGGGAGGCTGTCAGGGTTGATGCCTTCCGGCTGAACTGGTCGAGGTGGGGTTACCTGTACTTCTTCCCACCAGTTCGATTGTTACTCCAAGTCCTGGCTCGCTCTGAGACTTACTAGGGGAGAGTAGTTCTGTTGACCCCGTGGTGTGCGGATCAGCCCTGGTTTCAGGTACTGCTTGCTCAGTTTCCGAACCTGGGAGGGTCTTCCCGCGGCTCCGCCTCTTTCAGTAGATTGGTCCAGTTTTTAGACCAGGTGCTCTCTTTTTTCTCTTCTCCTTGGTTTGTGGTGGCCTCTTCAGTTCAGGACTGCATTTCTAAAGTTCTTTTCTTGTTGGCATTGGCCTCTGGGGGTCGGGTCGGGGAGCTTCATGCTCTCTTCCGGCACAGGGGTTTCTGCTCTTTTGGTCTTGGTTGATGGTTTGTTCGGTTGCAGCCGTCTCCTTCTTTTCTGGCGCAGAATGAGAAGGTGGCCTTCCAGAGGGGCCTTTGGGTCATTGATGCTAAGTTGGTCAGGCTGGGGTTACATCATGTGTTGTGTCCGGTTGCGGCTCTTCTCCATTATCTGCAGACTTCGGCTTTTGTGGCTGGGGACGCGCTTTGGGGTTGATCCGGTTTTCCTTGTTCCCTGTTCCAAGGCTCGGGTCTCCCAGGTCATCCGCAGGGTTATCAAGTCTAGCCAGCCTGTGGTCTTCCCTCATGCCCATGACGTTCGTAAGTTTGCTTCTTTGGCTGCTGTGTTCGGCAACATGTCTTGGGCTGACATTCCGCCGTGGGGGGTATCAACCAGGAATCCACCAGGTTTTGGAGGTCGAACAGGGTCCTGGCCTCCCATTATCAGGTCAATATTCTTGGTCCTGGTCGTTCGTGTGACTTTGGGTCATAGGTTACAGCCAGTTGTCTCGCCTTTGAGTTGAGGTGTATGTGGCGGCCGCCTCGCGGGTAAGTCCCTCTTTTACTTGTCTTTGGTTATGTAGGTATAGGGAGCCAGATGGGCTCCCCACAGAAAACCAGCTTTGAATGTAATGAAACAGCATTTTCTGGGTGAGCCCCAGGGGCTCTCTGGCACCCTTCGTCCCTTCTGTAGGCAGTTTTCATTTTTGATGCTCAGCCTCTGAACTAAGGTGTGTGTTGCCAGTGTGTGTGGGATGAGGGGGTCCGGAGCTCCCCCGTCCTCCTCCCTGGAAGGGGAGAGCTGCATGGGTAAGCGGGGCAGCGGCGGTGTGTGGCGTTTTGCTTGTTTGCTTGTTTCTTTGTTTGGGGAAATTCTGCCTTTCTGTTTGGTCTTTGGTTACACTTTCTTACCATAGTCTGTTTTGTCATTCCCACCTTTCTGGGTGCCTAATCCCAGTCGATGAAAGACATGGAATGCTCCCAAACACATGGGGGTTTCCATAGGCCATTGCTTCCTGTGCTGGTCAGGTTCAGGCTCGTGGTCCCCGGTAGGCTGAACTCCATTGTCTGATGGCCCAGACTAATATAGCGTATATCAGTCCAATATCTTCAGGAAGCCTCTGGGGCTCACCCAGAAAATGGAGTTTTATTACATTCAATGCTGGTTATTTGTTTTTAGTTTTTGCTAATTATGCTGTTTTTCCTTAGTGTCTGTGACATGTTCTGTTAATACGGTACTTTAATTATTGCTTACAGAGGAACTGAGTGAGCCAGAAGTGAATGGGACTTCTACATCAATATCTGGTATGTCTCACTCTGAGAGTGATTCATCATCAGTATCATCACTTGGGGAGGAGTTTTATGATCACTTGGTAGTTTTGAAGGGAAAGTTTCAAACACTTACTGAACAACTGGTGGAATGTGTTCAAGAAAGGTAAGATCCCATGACAATCAGTAATTAATGGTTAAAAGATATTCTACACGCATACATTGATGGGCTTTGGTTGTTCTGAACTATTTTATTGTAACAACAACTACTACTGTATAGATTATTGATTAAAAATTGTCTATAGTGGACCCTGACCCTGCATGGGTTTAGTGGATGCAATAATTCAGACAGAAAATGTTATTTGTACCACTGTGTGTGTGTGTAGTGTTGTTTCAGTCATCTGCAGTTACTCGAGTGTGTGTTGAGGCAAGGCCACCCATGTATTAGTTGTCCGAGTGTGTGTTGAGGCAAGGCCAGCCATGTACTAGTTGTTGTCCGAGTGTGTGTTGTGGCAAGGCCAGCCATGTACTAGTTGTTGTCCGAGTGTGTGTTGTGGCAAGGCCAGCCATGTACTAGTTGTTGTCCGAGTGTGTGTTGAGGCAAGGCTAGCCATGTACTAGTTGTTGTCCGAGTGTGTGTTGAGGCAAGGCCAGCCATGTACTAGTTGTTGTCCGAGTGTGTGTTGTGGCAAGGCCAGCCATGTACTAGTTGTTGTCCGAGTGTGTGTTGAGGCAAGGCTAGCCATGTACTAGTTGTTGTCCGAGTGTGTGTTGAGGCAAGGCTAGCCATGTACTAGTTGTTGTCCGAATGTGTGTTGTGGCAAGGCCAGCCATGTATTAGTTGTCCGAGTGTGTGTTGAGGCAAGGCCAGCCATGTACGAGTTGTCCGAGTGTGTGTTGAGGCAAGGCTAGCCATGTACTAGTTGTTGTCCGAGTGTGTGTTGAGGCAAGGCCAGCCATGTACTAGTTGTTGTCCGAGTGTGTGTTGAGGCAAGGCCAGCCATGTACGAGTTGTCCGAGTGTGTGTTGAGGCAAGGCCAGCCATGTACTAGTTGTTGTCCGAGTGTGTGTTGAGGCAAGGCTAGCCATGTACTAGTTGTTGTCCGAGTGTGTGTTGAGGCAAGGCCAGCCATGTACGAGTTGTCCGAGTGTGTGTTGAGGCAAGGCCAGCCATGTACTAGTTGTTCGTGTGTGTGCTGTGGCAAGGCTAGCCACGTACGGGTTGCGGTGCTATATTCATGCAACTGTGACATTTCTGGGGGGAGCCCCGTCGGCTCTCCGGAGGTATCCCAGGCTGATATGCTAATGTCAGACTTTGGCATCAGTCATGTGTATGGAGTTCTTAGGCCTACCGGGGACCACGGCCAGAACTGGGCCCCCCTCAGAGAGGCAAGGGGAGCAATGGCCTATAGAAGCCTCCGTGTGGTTGGAAGCATTCTATGTCTGCCATCGACCGGAACAGGCACCCAGAAAGGCAAGCGCCTCAAAACAAACCCCTATTCTGGTTAAAATTGCTACCAAAAGCCGAACTAGTGGATAGAACTCCCCAACCGAAAACAAGCAAACTAGTGTGACGTCACACACCGCCGCACCGCTGTCTGCGCAGCTCCCCCCTCCCCGGGAGGGGGAAGGGAGAGCCCCAGACCCTCCACGCTGGCTACCCACACCTTAGTTCTTGAGGCTGATGCTATAGGCGATGGTCGTGTGCTCTGGCTCCGGTGTCGCTACTGCACTGTGCTTTGCGTGTGGTGTTGGTTTTGTGGGTGCGAGAGCCAGGAGTTATCTTCAGTACTCGGGCTGCATACGCCTAGGGCTGCCTTCCCTAGGTGCCCTGTAAGTACTGCCCTTGGGGCTTGGGGCCACCTTCCACAGGCTCCTCGGGGTCTGCCTCTGCTGGTCCGTTTTACCTTTCGTTTTTTCGGCCGCCTGTTGGGCTCTTGGGTGTTCTGTTCTCCCTTGTTACCGGCAGGTAAGAGGCAGTTTGCACTGGTAGGGGCGCAGGGTGCTGCACAGCTTGTATTTCCCGACATAGCGGCCGGCTCTGTTCGTTGGGGTTCGCTGTCCTCTTGCGGGGTTTTGTTTTTCTTTTTGTTTTTGCCTGGTGGGGGGTTCTGTCATTTTATTCAGTTTGTTTTTGCCCTTCCACTGTTCTCCTCGGTGGCGCCCCCTGCTAGGTCCCTGTGAGTGTACATGTCCCTGGGGTTCAGCTATAGAAGTTTGCTTGGTAGTTTTGGGTGCCGGTTTGCAGCACCCTGCCTGGGACTACCTGAGCACGAGTCCTCTTAAAGTAAACGCTCAGGACCCTGGGAATCCCCTAGGGGGCGCGTAGGTCCGATGGATGTGACCCCGGAGTCCCCACTCGCTGTGTGCGAGTTTGAGGGTTGCTCGGTCCCCTTGTCTCTGGGTGGCCCTCATTGTTTTTGCCTCTGCCACGCTGCCTGTTGGGTCGGTGATACTTTTGACCCTGAGTCCTGTGAGTGTTGCTGCTTGCTTGTGACTCAATTTACCCAATCCTCTGATGATTCTCTTCAGGTACAGGCGGCGCGTGCGTTGCAGTCTAGGTTTCATCTGTTGCAACACGCTCGGTTGGTTGCTCACCCGGATGCCCCGGGGCTGCCCCGCTTTGCTTTTCGAGACCCGGACTTGGGGGTGGGGGTCGCTTCGATCCTGGTTCAGTCCGCACCTCCTCGTCCTTCCCCTTCTGTTTGTTCTGGTCCCCCCCCCTGCTTCCGGCCCCGAAGCGTCTGACGGTTTCGGGGTCGGAGCAGGGGTTACTTGATCTTGAGATTCGGGCAGCTTCGGGGGGTGCCCCTTCCGGGGGGGGCGGCAGAGGCATTCGAGTCTTGTCTCCCGGCTGAAGCTTCTGGGTCTGACCAGTGGGCCCCCCTTCCTCCAGCTTTTCCGGCTGCTCCATCCTTGTCTTGTAGGGTCGGGGCTTGGGGAGAGGACTTGGCCTCGGGTCCTGTGGTGAAGGACCTCGAGGCTGGGGAGGGGCTGACTTGGGGGCCTTGGGCCCCGCTGGACCCCACCTGGGTTTTTCTTCCTTCTGAGCGGGGCTTATTGTTACAAGGAGTGGGGTTTTCTTTTCCCCCCTCTGCGTACGAGTTGGATTTGGTGTCGTCCCCTCCCCGGGTTCGGTTCCGTGTTCCCCCGGGTCCGTCGGTTCCGTCCTTCCGGAAGTTTTCGGCTTATCGCATCCATCCTGGTGTGGTGCGAGCGGCCTTTGCAGCTTACCTCCTGCGTGACCCGGATTATGCCTCAGAAATGGATCCGTCCGAATTCAGGTTTGGGACTTCGTTCCCTCTCTGGCTCCGTTACGAGGTTCCGGAGTCGTCCTGGCTAGCAGACTGCCACTTGTTTGTTCTGGATTCCTGGCATTCCTTCTGTCATTCCCGCACGCTGGAGTGGCGGGACGCTTCCACGGTGCTTCAGGTTTTCCTGGGGGCGAGCTTGAGTACCTGAATGAGTGCTTGTTTGCCCCTGCCCTTCCCCACGATGTGGGCGTTATTCAGCTCCATTTGCAGGTTCCCACCCTTTCGGCGGCTCTCGTTGCGGAGGACTTGCACGCCCGGGGCCTTGTGGCTTCAGCCTTGCGGTTCTTTTCCCTCCTGGAGCTGTCTTCGGATTGGCTCGTGAAGGATGTGAGGACGCTTGGGTCCGTCCCAGGTCCGGCACCTTGTCCTCGGCTGCGCGTCCGTCGGCTGCCTTGTTGAAGCTGTTCACGCCGATTTTCCGGGATGCGGTTTCCCTGTTTTATGCTTCCCGTCTCACGCGTCGGCAGATGGTGCTGGGTTCTTCCGTGGAATCTGCTTGGGCTCTGGCTCTTAGGCGTTCTTCACCTTTTTGTCCTCTTCTGTTTGAGGAGTCGGCCGTGGCACAGTTTATTCAGGCTGCGTCGGCGGCTTGTCGTCCGATGTCGGACTTGTTGGTTTTCCTGGGATCCCGGGGTGGGTCTTCCCGGAGAGGTCGTGCCAGGGCTCGGGGTTCCTCTCGTCGTGGTAGGCCTCTCGTGTCAGGTTTGAGTTTGGCTCCTCCTGCGGATCCTTCCTCGTCTGGTTGGCGCGGTGTTCGCTCTGTGTGGGGTTCTGGGTCTCGTAAGGGTCGCCGGCCCTTTTGCAGTTTGCCCCATTGACGGGGCGATGGGGGGGCGGCTTGCACTGTTCGCCCGCGCCTGGTCCCACGATTCGTGGGCCTTTCGGGTCGTGTCTCGCGGCCTGCGGTGGCGTTGGGTGGCCCCTCCCCCCTTGGGGGGGTCGGGGCTAGCAGGGCAGGTTTCTTCCCCTGCGCTCTGTCGAGTCGTCTTGGAGTGGGTACGCTTGGGCGTCGTCAAAACGACGACGTCCCTCAGATGGGTTTCCCATCTGTTTCCGGTTCCGAAACGGGACTGCGCGGACCTGCGGTTCATTCTGGACTTGTCCCGTCTGAACCCCTGTTTTCATTGCCCCTCCTTTCGGATGACTACGCTGTCTCAGGTTCGGCTTCTCTTGGAGCCGGGAGCTTGAATGGTGTCCCTGGACCTCCGGGACGCTTATTGGCATGTCCCGATTCATCCACGGTTCAGGGACTGACTCGGCTTTGTTTTGGGGCATCTGAGTTACCGCTTTCGTTGTCTCCCATTCAGGTTGAACCTGGCACCTCACGTGTTCACGTGCCTTACACGGGTTGTGGTGGCTCGTTTGTGTCTCCTAGGTGTTTTGGTGTTGGCCTACCTCGACGACTGGCTGGTTTGGGCTCCCAGCTGGTCAGCTTGCTTGCTAGCCAGGGATTTGGTTCTTTCCCAGCTCGCCGGGTTCGGGTTCTTGGTGAACTGGAGGCAGTCCCATCTGGTTCCCTCTCAGGTTCGGACTTGGCTGGGTCTCGTTTGGGACTCTCGAACCGCCTCCTTGTCTCTCCCTCAGGAGTCTCTCCTGCGGCTGCGGTCCCGCCTTCGTCTGTTTCTGGAGGGCCCTCGGGTCACCCAGCGGTTGCTCGAGGGGCTGTGCGGGAGCCTGAACTTCGCGATGGTGGTCTACCCGCCGGGTCGGGTTTGGCTTCGACGGCTGTTCTGGTTCCTTCGGGGTTCCCCCTTCCGCCTTTCTCGCCATCGCAGAGTTCGACCCCCGGGGCCTTGCATCGGTTGCTGCGTCACTGGCTTCCTCTTCGGGTTTTTCGGGGTTCAGTGCCTTG